AGAGTTGCATCCATTTTGGTTGATGCTAATGATTAAAAAAGAAATATTTGAAAGTAATGACCTAACATTAAAGACTGGCTAGTTTTGTACTTTCAAGGGCTTTGAGGGGAAGGATCAAAATATATTTTCACTTAGCTGAACATTTTTAAGATTATTTTACTATATAAACATTTATCATAGAAAATTTTTAACTCGGATACTTCCTATATCAGACCTGCCTACCGTTACACAAAATGCGTATTCGTTATGCAAAATTTCCCAAAAAATGACAGCCAGTACGCAAATACGAATTTAACCTGGGGCGTTAAGCATTTCTTATCCTTTTTTTTTTTTTTTTTTTGTGTCGAACACAGAGGTCACGTTAAGCTGTCCTATGGGGAAAAAAACAAACGGTGGGGTGAACACATTGTGCTCAGATATATACGCTGATTGGTTCTTGATAGCAATTAAATTTAGTCTAGAAATGAAGAACGCGAGAGTGGTGGAGTGGCAGGATGGTACCGTTCTGTTAGCTACTACACTAACGTGACTTCTTTTTTTTTTAACTTTTCATCAGTAGAAATTCATTATTTGGAGCTTAAAAAGTTGAATGTTAAAAAAAAGAATCCCTGATTCCCGTATTCATTAAAAAAAAATATCCAAGTGCTACCATTTCAAAACACATTGTGATTGTAGATCTAGATTACTTATTATACAGGAATAGATCAAGAGTCTATAGACTACAACTTTATTGAGTCTAGCTAGGCATTATGTTACTATTCTCTACATTCTAGAACTAATCTAGTATGATCTAGATCCATAACGTCTATAGACCTAGATCTAGGCCTACGAAAGTTTGGAGTAGGCCTACGTTTTTAGCGGCTCCTCTGGATCGGTAACTTTTCAGTCCAGATCTAGATATCTTATATAATACAGACATTACTTCAAAAAAGAAGATGATTACATCCTACACGTCATGCATTTAGTCATATAGATCTAGATCAATGGATTCCAGCACTCATTGAATTAGAAGACAGTGAAAAAGCAGACATACTAGCCAAATATAGAAGAATGAACACAAATGAAAATCCCTCTCTACCCAGAAGAAATAATGAAAATAATAGAGTGTAGAATAAATGAGAATCGGAACAGATCACATTCCAATTTCAAGAAAAAAAGGACACCTATTATAAGCTATCTCGACATGACTATGGCATAATTTTTTGGCTCAGAACCGGACACAAAAGAATGAGACAACATATGTTACAGAAGCTTAAAGTCAGGACGTACGAAACCTGCCCTTGTGGAGCATCACCAGAGAATCCTGACCATGTCCTTCAAAGCTTCATACTATATCAAGATGCCTGAACAAGACTCTGGCCTCAAAACCTTTCTATAGAACAAAAACTATACAGAGAACTGCCTGATCTGGAAACCACTGCACGGTTCATCTCAGATATAGGATTACTGATCTGAACCCTCAGTCATGTCTAATAAGAAAGAAGAAGTAGAAAAATTTTTGAAAAGTAGAAACACTAAGCACATTTTGCTTTGGTTTACCAATGTGACAAACAAACACATGATGCCTGTTTTTGTTTTATTAAATAACCAGTTGGGTGCATACAGAAGAAGAGTTGTTTCCTCTACTTGATATCCAAGTTTCTATATATAACAACTTAAAGTAGGTAGTCTAGAAGGCTAGTCATATGTACCATTGGGGTCCTTTCAAGGGGATTTAAAAAAAAATTAACTTTTATTGTATTTATTTCAAATTTTTGCAGACTTAATTGTGTTCTAGCAAGACTGTAAGGTTCTAAGGAGCTGATTCTTCACTTGTTTGTGTTTTTATTTTAGCATGCCATTGAACTGTTACAAAAGATTCCATACACAGCCAACAGTTTGGAGTCAGCATTGAAGAACTTTGGCAAGCAGGTCAGTTGTCTAGGTTATTAGCAGATATGCCTACCATTCCGCATTTTGCGGAACCATCTGGCAAAATTATCAAAGAAAGTTTGCAGCAGATCCACATTGGCACTTTTTTTGTTCCACCAAGTGCAAATTCTTTAAAAAAAAAAAGTCGCTGTTTTTTTAATATTTTAATATTTTAATATTTTTTTAATATTATTTTTTAATAATGCCATATGAAAATATTGAAAGCAAAATTAATTTATTTTGTTTAACTTTCCTCCCCATGGGGCTTAGCTTGGTTTAGCTAATATGGCCTCCTTCAGTCACAAAGCGACTATGGATCATCTCATAGAAATGAGATGAATGTCTGGGCATTAGCTGTGATTCGAACAATGTCTCCCACACAGCAGTTCTCTTCACAGCTGATCTATCCAGCCTCATTTATTCTATGCCAAAACTTGTCCCAACAATGTTTCTACACACTGGTTTCTATGAGAAGGTTACAATTTAATAAAGACAAGAATCTTCACCTTTACCTATCCTTTAGTCTGTTGGACTATTGGGGCATCACACAAGATCTGTTGACTGTCCTTCTCTATTCCTTTCTGTCTTTTGCCTTGGACAGAATTTCCCTTTATCGCCTGTCCTTCCCTTTACGAAGTCTTCCCATCGCTGTCTCTATCTGCCTTGCCTTCTTTTTCCTGGTACTGTACCCTGAAGGAAGGTCTTTGCAAGCTTTGAGGACCTTGTGATGTGGCCATAGAATTGTAGTTTGCATTTAAAAAAAAATAGTTAGCAGGTCATCATGGGGTACCATCATTTTACTAATCATGTCTCTAATCTCTTCATTTGTGATGTTAAATTTAGATTCTATTATATTCTGTCTATCTATAGAGGATTCTAAAATTTAAGATTTTTCTAGATCTAGATTTAATTTTACTAGATCTATATCTTCTGTAATGTAGATTGAGATCTCTAAGATATTAGACTTAATGTGTTTATAGATTTAAGTAATTTTTTTAAAAACTATTAGTTAAGGCTGTCAAACTGAAAACTCAAAATATACATTTAGATTGGAGCGGTGGCTGAGCGGCAAAGCGATTGGCTTTCGAAACCGGGGTTTTAAGGTTCGAATCCTGGTGAAGACTGGGATTTTTAATTTTGGGATCTTTGGGCGCCTCTGAGTCCACCCAGCTCTAATGGGTCACTGACATTAGTTGCAGCACAGAATGTTTTAAATGGTTTAATTGTGTCCTTTATTTCAATCTTAAGATTGCAATCAGTTCAGTCCTATTGGTACAAAGTGTGAAATTTCTTTTTATTCTGAAGCCAATCTAATTTGTGCTTTATTTTTCCTTCTATTATTCTATAGAAACCATATTCCTAATATATGCTCTCAATTTGTCTCAGAAATGAAACTGATACATATAATTGTATAGCAATTTTAAATACCTTATTTTGGTTTCACAGTTGATTATTATTATTTGTTTTGTTTGTTTTGTTAGCTTGTAATGAAGATATTGTTTCTGTGTTTGCTCTCAGGTTGGTGGTGTGTTGTTCACCAACAAAACTTGCCAGTACTTGTGTCATGACAACTACGACAGTCTGTGGCTGAGACTTGATCAAATGGAAAATGTGCTTGGTCTCTCAGTCCCAGATGGAGTCACGTTTGTTGCAACAACAGATGATGATGTTAGGCTCAAGTCAGAGCTCCACCAGCGAGAGAAGCTGCGATTGGATCGGGAGGCAGCAAAAGAACGCCAAGATGAAGAGCTCAAGGCCAGACGTGATCAGGAAGTGGAAGAAGGTAGCACCTATCAGGCGGAGACTGCTGAAGCAGGCATAGTTCAAGAAGGAACTGAAGAAGGCACCTATCGAGCGGTATCTGAAGAGGGCACCTATCAAGAGGGGACTGAAGAAGGCACCTATCGAGCGGTAACTGATGAAGGCACCTATCAAGAGGGGCCAGAGGGAGGCACTTACCGAGCAATAACTGAAGGTGGGACCTATCAAGGGGAGGCTGAAGGGGGAGAAGGATCAGCTAACTGAATCTGTGTTCATGATTTGTTTCTTCTGGGTTTTTTTTTTTTTTTTACTTTGACCAAAATTTTAAAAGACTAGAAAAATCTGTACATTTGTAAGTGAAAAAAATGTGTGGAATGTTTGTTTTTGATTCGAACTCCACAGACATTTAACATTTGAATTTTGTTAGTGACATTCATGACTCATACAGAATTTTGTTTTTGTATGTTAATGTCAATTGCTTTTTTTTTTTTTTTAAATTTTGTTTTGTAATTATTCCTAAATAGTTTCCTTTCAACTCTTTCTAATGGCAACAATTTGTTGACACAAAGACTTCCAGTAGTCAAATTGTCACTGTTTGATGTTATAGGTAAAAAAAAAGTACTCATCATATTCAGACCACATTTTGTGTCACTGATAGTTTAAGGGTACTCCAGTATCAAATTCTCTCCTTTAGTGGCTGCTAAAAGAATGTTGGTTTTCGTTAGCCAAAAAGCCAAATGTTTTGTTTGTTTATTTTTATTTTTATATAATCAAATGTCTTATTGAAGTACTATGATGAACATAGGAGACACCAAATTATTGTAACATTCAAATTGTTACTGAGGGAACTGTTGCAGCCTAGCAATACATTTTGTTTTCTTGAGTGAGCTCAGTTATTTAGATATAGATAAAAGTAAATCATCAGAGGAATGGTAGTGATTGTTTTTGCTATTGTCAGAATCATGATGATAACATTTGTCAGTTATTGTATCAATGAAGCATTGATATCATGTTTTTTTTTTTTAAAGAAAACATTTTTGTCTATTTGTTGTATTTTATGTTGTTTTTTTAATCGACTCATTGAATAAAACACTTTTTGTATGTTGATTTTTTTTTTCTTGGGTCTCTTTTGACAGGACATAGCCATTGCTTGATGGTAATAGAATTATCTCAAGTTCCTACTTTTTCAAAGTCAACTTTTACTTTGACTTCATCCTTTCGAAACATTTTTATAATAACACCAGTAGTTCAATGTTTCTGATAATACAGCTCAGGATGTGGCCTAACAGTCTAATGCAAGTAATGTCAAGAAAAAACAAAACCATTGAGTTCCAAGTATTGAAACAACTCTTTTTATTGAAAGGACAAAATGTATGTAGTGTCAGTAGTGAAGCTGTCCAGTAGACTAAACCAAAGGGAGAACAACCAACAAATACTAGTTATCACAAGGTATTTTGGGCTTTGAAAAGCTAGCAATAAAATGACATTATATTAAAACAATAAAAACGTTTCATAGGTGAGTCCTAACATCAAATTAGGAGATTTAGCTTTTAAAAAATAAAAAGAATTAATTCCAAAATTTTTTTAGTTTTTTTTTTCAGAAATCTAAAAAAAAAAAAAAAAAGACGCTTTGTTGAAATAAAAGAAGAGTTTTTTAAAACTAATTTAGTATAATGTTCTAGCCGGTAGTCAGCTTGTAATTTGAAGAATGATGATAAAATGTAATGGAATACTCTTATAATGCAAAGGTCATGAGGGAAGATCAAAAATAGAAATCTCTTTATAAAACATTTTGTTTATCTACAGCATTCATTTGACTGAGTAATATCACATACTGCAATAGGAGCTCAGCAGTAAAAATATCACAAGGAAATAAGATGAAATACCAAATGTAAATAATTCATGTAATTACACCATTAATGTTAATTTACACTGACTTAATTGATCAAGTGTTTATGAGCTCCATATGTTGGTTACAGCTGGGGCTGCGTAGCCACAAGAAATACTGCATTCCTCATTAATCTTCAGACTTGAAGACAAGCCTTAATATTATGATTATTATTTGGTTTAAACTCATATTTTCAACCATTCAATGCTACATGGGCAGTCCTAGTTAAAAAACATTTTACTAAATCTTTTAATGAATAAGTTAAGTAATTTAAAAGGTTTTGAAATAGTAACAACAAAATAATTTTGATTACCACAATTCTTTCAAATGATGCATTAAATGGGAAAAATTCATTAATCATCTAGCTTGGTTCCTTAGCGAACGATTTAATTCAATATTTTTGCACTATTAAAAATAACTATCTTAACTTTCTCTGGTCACACACAGAGTCCCTGAAACCATTGCAATGTTATTGCTTAACGTTTAGTTTAACTCCTAGTGAATAGCAATAACAAGCAATTGGAACAGATCTGAAGTGTAATTTCACTAGGTATTAGCTATTCTATTCTAATTTTATTAATACCTTATTTAAAGTTCAATGTTTCCTAGATCTACTTACAGGTTGGATAAATAGTATGAGGGCGCTAATGAAAAAGTGAAACTAATGGAAGTGATCTATGACAAATAGTTGAAAACTTCAGATCAATGTATCAGTCCTGAGCAGTAAAACCATATATTTGTCAATGACTATAAAACATACAATTCAAGTGTCATTCAGTCTTTCTACAAAATAAATAAAAAATGAGAAATTTCTTCCCAAGAGAACTTATGACATTACATTTGTCAATTACATCCTGATGAAACAAGTGAATTTATTTTCCCCCCTGAGCTCTGAGTCGGAAGTAGATGGGGTTTGGAAGAATTACAAGTATATATGTTTATGCATCATGGGCTGTTTGTGATTTGTGTTGAAACATAATCAATGATAGTGGAAGAAACATTCTCCTTAAACTACACTTGGATATGAATCTAGTCCATAGTTTCAAGTTGAAATGTCAATAACAATGAAGGAATGATTTGAACAAATGTTCTTGAACTATTAAACACAAAACTAGCTAAGGAAAAACCAAGGGAGGGAACAAAATTATTCATTAAACATAAAGCGAATGAGATCTTGGTATTAAATTTAAAAAATCACTCAGACAACATTCAAACCGAGTGGGAAAAACAAATTTGATCTATTCATTAGATGATAATATGCCAGTACATTTCATATATATATGTATTAAAAAATGGTCAAAATTGATTTGTAAAAAAAAATACAGTTCATCAAATAAATGTATTGTAGTCAAACTTTAGATGCCAGCCACATCCAAATGTACAGACTTTCCTTTCAAGACTTCTAATGATAAATGACGAGATGCATGTAGGACTTAGTGATGAATACAACCCAGTGACCATAGCAAGGTGGCTAAGTGTTGGTAAAGGTTTGACTGCTGATTCAAGGCCCTATGGCAGAGTTTTAGGAAAGAGGATTTTGAGTCTTTCAAACTATTTCATTGAGTTTCCTACCACAGGGCTTTTGGAAGGTAGGATTTGAGCCTCTGAAGTACTCACTCACAATGGATACTTGATTTTTATGTTTTTTTCCCTAACATCTGATCTGCAGAAGCTCAGCCCTGCCACAACATATGTTGCTAATGCCAAACTGTTGACAATGATGACAAATTCTTTTACATACAGTGACCCCGTCTTGTGTTTATACCATTAGTTCTTATTATATTCTATTATTGAAGAGAAGCCATTGTCTCTAGTAGTGACCTTTTTTAAGGAATAACTAGCTTGAACAAGTTACATATGCTTTTTGTATTGTCAAATGAGACTGTAATTATAGATTTTCTTATGAAGCAATGGATATCTTATGACTCTCATTTTAGAATATGTAAGCTTATAAAGGTCTTTAGGGCATAGTGAAATAATTAAAAGACTTTATTTTAGAGGCAGTTAATGCTACACTATGTACTCCAATATGGCATTGAGAGTTGGACACTGAATGCTGAGGCTGAAAGAAGAATTCAAACCTTTAAGAGCAAGTGCTATAGAAAAATACTGGGTATCAGATACCAGGAAAAGAAGATAAATGAGTTTTTACTTTTACAAGTCAACACTCTGGCTGGCAAAAAGGATGAACTCAATACTGTGAAGAGATGAACGCTGAGCTGGTTTGCTCATATTGTAAGACCTGACCCACTTTTAAAAGTCATACTTAAATGAGGGAGAGATAAAAAAAAAAAGGGTCCTTGGAAGAAAAAAGTGAAAGAATGCACCAGCCTCACTCTCGACATTCTGCTTAAGAACAGCTGCTGACTGGAAAGAGTTGAATTTCGTTATCTGAAGTGTCACCATTGAAAACCTCAAGAGACAGATGAGATGAGAATACTGCAATCGCACATTTCTATTAGCTAACTATTAGCAGCCTTCTTTTTTGTTAATTTAGGTCAGGGAAGACTACCCATTAAAGCTAGGTGGATTCTGACAGGACCTCAAATTAGAGTCAACATTGGAGTCACCACTTGATTCAAACCCTTGGGGCAGCAGCCAATGTTTTACCTCTTCAACTTAAACATTTTATCTAAAAACAAATACACATTTTTTGTTTTCTTTTGCATTGGTTCAAGAATAATCCAAGTCAGAAAAGTGATGAGTTTGTTTCCAGGTCACTAGTAACTTAATGCAAACACCAAATGATAGCTTATTGTCTCTGATGCAAGAGAAATGTGCAAATGATGTGTACAGAGTGATCCAACTGGTGTAAACAGTTTGTGTCTGCTCTAATTGTCTGTTGTGATGTTTAAACTAAGGAACCAGGACAATCAAACTAGTTTATGGAAGACAGAGACTTTATGTAAAACTACACAAATTTTGTTAGGTAAGACATTTGTATTACTTTGTTGTTAAATCATTCACTATACCTTTAAAAAAAAAGTCTTAACTATTCTAGTCTATTATATCCTGTAAAATTGAAAAATATTTTACCCTATTTGTTGATTTAGAACTAAAAAAAAAGGTAAGGAACAAGTACAGATACTGAAAGTGGATACAAAATAATAGAACAAATTCAGTCAGACTAAATTATTTATTTCTATTATTCCTGCATTATAAAAGTGGTAGGTCTATAGTTGTCATGTATATTTGACCACAAGAAAGTTACAACAAAAAAAACAAAAGGTCTACAAATTTCACAGTCCAACTTTTAATCAGGGACATGATCACAGTATAAGAAAAGAGTCTTGCCATTTTTGAAACAATAAAAAACACACAGCAAAACAAAGAGGATTATGCAGTCATGTACACATGGGATGGGGGGGGGGGGGAGCGGTCATGTACGCATGGGGGCAGTCAGCACAGCTGATACCAGAAGTTACAGGTTTAGAACAAAGTGACAGCAGGTACATATATATGTGACATCCCATTGTGTCACTGCGACAGCAGTTGTGCCACTTTGCGACAGCAGTTGCAGTTCAAGTGTAGGCCTACATATAAACCCACCAACTGGGAGTGGCGGGGTGGGGGGGGGGGGGGGAAGGTAGATTCCAGAACAGGAAGATTTGACACCAACAATTTCAAAAAATGTACAAAATAAATAATGACATGACAATGAGACACGGGATTAGAGAATGACATTTAACACATTCACTCTGGCTTCAACCCTCTCAGCCATGAGGCTAAATTAGACCTCATTTGAAGACAGAACCACACTTCCACTATGAATGTCCAATGCATTCCACGTTGGTTAAAAACAACATTAACTCTCACCATCCGATAGCTATGGCCCATTTCTTACCCAATATTTACAAGATTTCAAACCTTTAAGGTCTGTGTCATGACTACTGCTATGTCCAATAGTTTGATTCAAAGGAGACAGATTTTAGAAACATTCTTGTTTAGAACTATTAGTGGTTAATATCTTTTGAGTCAACTAAATAGTCAATTTTTCTATTACATTATGTAAAAAGACTTTTTCATTCAAGATACATTTTAATTTATTAAGCAAATTAAGGAAGCCAAAGAACCTATAGACATTTAATGTGGACCTAGTGATCCAGTTGTTTTTTTTTACTGTTGAGACTGTTGTAGAAGTATTGTATGTTGACATTCAATCATTAAATAAACAATGTATATAAATCAAAGAAATATCATAAAATAGATTTTTGTTATTTTCTTTGTGGTGTTTATAAGACTAGCCTTTTATCACCGTAGAATCAGCACTGTCCAGTCATGCATGTCTTGAGAATGACTTCAATCAGAAACACTCCAGTGTCATTTCATTATTAAAATATTGTCAACTAGAGAATTTATCATTTGATAGCCACTTTCAAATTGTCAGTGAGCTTTATAATTTGACTGTCACTGAAATGTTCTCATGTAGTCCTCCACCAGCAAGATGATCATTGACCAATAGAATAGAAACTGAAAGGTAAAGGGCTTACCATTACCTGTCCGGGTACATCTGTTAATTTGTTTTCTATAGTAAGTCTTATAAATAAATGAGATCACCAGACTTTTCACTTTTAATTACAGAACTAGCATTGTAGGTCCTATTCTATACCCACTGATTGACCAAGTCAATGTTGAGATACCCGTAGGGTCAGTTCACAAAATAGTCATACAGCTACAACTACTGTTCTTGCAACTGAAATCGTTTGACTTTAAAATTTAACTTCAGAAATAACAAAAAAAATCAAGTGATGCATGACTGGATAGGCCTTAATCCAAATATAAAATATTTAGCCACTAAGAAAACAAACAAACAAACCAACCCAAAATAAAATAGTAAAAATCCCAAGGTAGAGTCCAAAGGTTCTCACAGAAACACTGCTACGGTTAATTATAAATAAGAGAATCACACAGGCTTTAAAATATTGTGCTTTGAGTGGTGGCTTCCAATAAACTGAAACTATGTACCACAGTCTCAGAGAAAACACAAAGTCAAAGAAACCACACAAGTTATTCCACTGATAGAAATCATAGTGTCCAGTCCTGGTTTTTTTGATGCCTTTAGAGTTTTTATTTTTTAGCAAAGCAGCTGACATCAGGAATGACTCTAATTACAATCCATAGTGAATTTCTGCATTAACATTGTTCTTATTATTTGTATCACTGTTTGTAAAATGAAATTAACCACAACTGCAATGACAAGTTAACTTTTGAGATCCAATACATTGTGAATCACTCAGGCTCACATTACTGCACATCTGAGTAGACAAGTTTTTGATTCACTTCAAGCCAGTGTGAAATGGCTGGAGTTTTGTTGAAGTACTTCCCAGTGCTCTGGAAGTTATCCAATACTAAGATCTAACATGAAGATAAGTTTCCTCAAGGATTTCAAGCACAAAACCTACACGATGAAATACAGTGGACTAAATTGAGCAAAGATCCTCTCTTCTTATGTAATGGGTCCTCCATATAGAGGCTAGAGTTGCCAGCTTCAGGCAGGCTTTTATTATACAACCAAAGTGTCCAATCAGTGTGAGTCACTAACTGTTGGCTATAGTGTGAGTCGAAGCTTGTTCTTGTTCTTTCCAATAATCATAATTTAACTGCAAATGGTGCATCAGTTCAGGAATATCACAATAGACTGAAATAAAACAAAAAAATACAATGAGCATACAAACACAGCAAGTCACAAGAATTAAAGAATCATGAGCTGGGTCAAATGTTTTCAGCTTGTTTAATGCAGCAGGGAATAAAGCAAAATAGGAGCTGCAGTGTAGCACCAAGACTTTCAAAATCAAGCATTTCTCAATTTAAAACTCAACTACTTCCTCTTGGGGCCACTTTTAGCCCTCTAACAAGAAACCTTATGCTATAAAGACACATAAGTATGGGCAAATTTAATTGCTGAAGAAAAACTAAAGGCCAGCACAATATGATATCTAGAGTGATATAGTAGCTTAGATACAATATATCTAGAGTGATAAAGTAGCTTTTAGATACAATATGATCTCTAGAAGGATATAGTAGCTGAGATAAAAAGCTTAAGGTACTATGTTCAAATTGTAGAAGCTCGCTCTCAAATGCCTTTCCCTTAAATTTCTTATCTTATCTTATATAATACAGACGTTACTTCAAAAAAGAAGATGGTTACGTCCTACGCGTCATGCATATTAACCAATGACTTAAATTCTGCCAAGTCACTGGTTTTCCTGGCTAGCTCATATTCTGGAGATATTAATATAGTTTGTAGATGTACTAGACATAAAATCAAAATATATATACAAGTAAAAAAAAAATGTTTTAGGTTTGCAGCTAGGAGAGTAACTTGAACCAAATTGCTCTAGAAAGACCTTCAAGTCACTTACCATCCCATGCATCAAACATGGTGGTGATAAAGAGATTAATGAATGCAAGTTGACACTTTGGGATGTTGAGAGTTTTTCTATCAAACTGAGCCATCACCACTGGCAACCCTCGGCTCTTTTCTTCATCAGTCTGGGAAGAAACAAGTTCATTCATTTCAATGTCAAACAAGAAATTTGGTCTTTGTTTTAAACACTGCAAAATTTTGTATCAATGCTTATTCATTCATACAGGCCTAGTCCTAAATTTAGAATTAAGTTAACTTTAAATTATCATACTGAATAGCCTACGGTACTTATGAAAAATTAATAATGTAATATTATGACTAATTTATAATAAAAACCTATAAATCTAGTACAAAACATAGCATATTCTAAATGACTTTATAGACCAAATAACTCTTTCTCTACTAACTAACGATACATACCAGCGTTGATTCCACCAGAATGTGGTAAATAATTACGAAGAGAAAGAGTTAAAATTGGAAATCTTGCCACCATTTTCTAAACTCTTTCATCTTATTTACTAGACAAAACACTTTTGAGACAGTGACATTTTTTTTTTAATACAACATACAACACTTTTGTAACCAAACGCACAAGTGGAGCAAAGTGGTTCTGAAACAAACAGGTTTGCTTGTATCTTCTAGTGGCCAGTATGAGATTTAGGCTGAGAAGGAATAGTCTTCTTTTTAAAGGATTGGTGAAAACTTACAAAACAATTACAAAAACAAAATCTAATTTTTCTAATCAAATCTTTCTCTTACCTGCTGGCAGTACTCCTCTGCAATCCTGTAAGCCCATTGCTTGCAGAGGGCCAGAGGTCTGAGAGGGTTGCTCACATCCGCACACTTGATCATCATGCGTTTGATTAAAACACGGTTCTCATGAAGAGCTAGGTCAGAGAGTATTGTGTTCATATCAGCATCATGGGACTCAATCTACACAAGAAATAAAGTATTGAGTTCATATCAGCATCATGGGACTCAATTTACACAAGAAATAAAGTATAGAGTTCATATCAGCATCATGGGACTCAATCTACACAAGAAATAAATTATCGAGTTCATATCAGCATCATGGGACTCAATCTACGCAAGAAATAAAGTATCGAGTTCATATCAGCATCATGGGACTCAATCTACACAAGAAATAAAGTATTGAGTTCATATCAGCATCATAGGACTCAATCTACACAAGAAATAAAGTATTGAGTTCTGTTGATGGTCTATTTTGTTGATGATTATATATGTTAATGGTGCATGCGAGTTCATAGAAGACACAACAACAGAATGAATAATGAATATACTTGATAACACAGGCTGATAACTTCAACAATTTAATGAACAATAAAAAGGGCACAGTCCTCTGTCGTCGTTAGCCTAGCGTCGTTCTCTAAGGCGTATTGTCCGTTACTCTTCTAATTTGTAATCCTTCTCTTTTATTACTCATCACATCACTTAGGAAAAACACAATTAACCTTAACTTCTACACATCTTGTGTCATTACAGTTCATTTGTGCAATATGGCATCATTGGGTCTTGATTTAATAGCAAAACAAAACAACCCATTGAGCCTAGTATGCAAATAAATATATGCTTACAATGGCAATGCATGTAATTCCTCTTCTGCCTTTAATTTATAGTTGAATTTCAAAGTTATTATATTGTTGTCTAACCTTTATATACACATGAAAAGTATAACATTTTACAGGTAACTGAAACTAATCAACCTAAAGGCTAACAAGCACATTTGTTCAGATTATGACCTAGAACAAAAAGTGATTGTTATTACATAAGGTTCTAGGACACCCACTTACATCAACACTGTCTCCCTCCAACTTCTGCAAATGTTTGGTGATTGAGGTGGTGAACTTGGACAGATGTTCAAAGTGCTGCTTCATGTCTGTGGCCAGAACTTGATCAATAATTGACTGACGCATGGTTTTGTACTCATCACTAGACAGACAAAGTGAGCCATTATTTAAGTGCAGAGTCAAGAAGAAAGAACTAATGTTATCTGTCTAATAACTAAACAATACCACGACCCACATCAAGCATTCTGATGAAGATATTTATTTCCCCTGAAAGCTCAAGAAGTCAAAACATAACTACCTTCTTAGGTTCTTGAAAATATCAGCAGTTGGATCTTTGTGTGTTAATCTAAAACACATGCTTGCATGATGGTTTTCCAAAACAGCTCTGGAGAAATGCAAACACACAT